GATATGAAAATATGGCGATAACAAAAGCGATTTTAAAGATCTCTGCAGACCTCTTGAGTTTTGATATCTTTTTGATTGGGATCATGAGTCTTTTATCTTCACCTTGCTGATTCAAACCGTCTTGAGTCCTTCACTTGGAAGACTTGACACAATCATTGGCTTCGTGCATCTCCTACATGACCAAAAATTCCCCCCTGGCTCGCGAGGATGTATTCCTCTTACTGATTCTGGTACTGATGGAGGTAAGATAAGATTATCAAGCTTTGGAACAAGATTGTCAGCACAATATACATATGCCTTGCAGAATACAACAGCGGGAGTTGCAACTCTGTTGATAAGCAAATGCATCTCGTATTGATGGAAATTTTGCGTAAGCACACTGCGTTTATCTGTTACATTGACCTCTGCACTTCTGACTTGACAATTGACTTAGAGATATGTGATCATGCCACGTAGCATCAGTAATTCAACAAGATGCTTATCCTAGAAGTGGTTGTCTGTTGCAGCGTATCACGGGAACTCTAATTACTGTTCCTATACATCTTCCAAAGCCTTTTATTCTTGGAGAAACTCAAACCCTCCATCATCTGAGGTTCCCAACAGCTTTGCCCTCCACGCCATGCGTATACTTTGCCTTCACGGAATGGGCACCAACAGCAAGGTACGTAACCGTCGCATCATGGCCACGAACATCTTACTATGAGATAATCTAACACAGATTCTAGGTGCTGGAGATGCAGACGTGTACATAACATTCCTTCACACAGCTCATCTGATTACACGGACTGACTTCATTGCAGCTGCGCTCCGACATCAACTTAGCCATTCACAATCGCATAAATACGAATACGTTGATGGTGGGGAGCCCATGCCGCCTGCGCCTGGTAAGTCATTGAGTTATTTGTTTACTTACTTACTCAAGACTCTTATACACGACACAGGGATAGAAGCCTTCATTGGTCAGGATGAGAGCCTTGCGTATTACCATCCACACTCGGCAAAGAGCATCCTGACAGCCATTGATGACCTATGGGAGTACATTGCCGAGGAAGGTCCCTTTGACGGTGTCTTGGGCTTCTCCCAGGGTGCGTCTCTAGCTGCCATGATTATTGCTCGTGCCCACCACTCTGACCCGCCACCCTTCCAGTTCGCCATATTCTTCTGTGCAGGACTCCCTTACTGTGAGAAGTCTTTATCTGCCGGCGAGGTCAAGTTCCTGAGGGCTGAGGCTACGCAAGGTCCAGTTATCCATGTGCCAACAGCTCACATCTTTGGCAAAAAGGACCCTGATGTCAGCTATAGTAAAGCGATGACTGAATTGTGCCATCCCTGGGGACGAGTTCTTCTGGATCATGGAGCTGGGCATGAGATCCCAAGAGTGCCTGTTGAGACGGTGGATGACATGGCAAGGGCGGTAGAGAAGGTTGTCACCAAGGCAGTGATCGGTCAGTAGCTAAGCGTAGATTGATGAGAAGAGACAAAGTACACGAGATAAATCATAGCCGCACCATATTGGCAGCTGCCCGAGTGATCCACGAAATGATACCCAATAGAATGAAAAACAGGAGCGCTACGTCGATGTTGTTTAGCTTGATCCAAGACATTCGCACGTCAGGTGTCTGAAGGTGCATTGGACGCAGCTCTTTACCTCTTGGATACATGTCCTTTGAGTTCGAAGCTTGTAAAAAGCCCCTCTTCCTGTTGGAGCATGCTTTAAGATCGAGAATGGAATTCTCAAATCTACCATCCCAATCATATAGATGCTCCTCAATTACATTGGCAGCAAAATGCTTCTTCCGCGATCCGACCATGGCAATTCTCTTCATACGCTTGACGTTTCTCTGGAACGACTCTTTGTCAAATAAGAGTATGGTTCTGATGGCTGTCGTCAAGGAAGCTGCATCAAAAGTTTCTTTGTCAAGACGGACTGCAACTCCAGATCGTTCAAGTCTCAGCGTAGTGACCATCTGGTCACCAAATATGCCCATTGCAACCATAGGGACGCCATGGAAGATGGATTCATTGACAGATGAAGGTCCAGCGTGTGTGACGAAGATGATTGTGGAATCATGTTCGAGGACAGAGCGCTGCGGTACCCAAGTAGCAAAGTGCCACGCTTGATCCTGATTCTTGAACAGCTGATCAATGGTCAAGTGAGACAGGTGTAACGATGGAACTCGAATGCTGGTATCAAGTTGACCACGACTTCTAGCACTAAGGGCCCAGACGACCCCGTCGATCACGCCGGAAGAAATGGCATCAGCGAGACCGTCGATAATTTTGAAGATCTTCCCGTCGTCCAGAATGACATGTGTACCAAACGCAACTAAAGCGATTTTTTGATGCGTCTCAACAAAGGACTTGATGTCTCCATCGAGAGCAGGATACGAGTCGGCCAAGATTGGGCCTACTGGATGAACCAAAGGTGGAGTGTCTCGTGGCGTTTCCATACCATAAAAGTTGTTCATAAACACAAGATAGTCTGGCTTGGAATGCCTAGGCCGAGGTGCGACTCCCTCTTTTCGGCGCATTGCCTTGGTCCAGAAGATCCAGTGAAGAAAGAATGGCGCGGAGCGAAGCAAAAAGGTCATTTCAAACAACCTGTCATAAATGCTTGCGTGCTCGCTGGTCAAACATCTCTGCTGCATACCGGGCTGACCCGGAATGTACTTCTGAGGCATCATCAACCACGGCATTTGGGGCCACATGACTGCGTGAGGGAGCCGAAACTCGTTGCAAACATCCAGAGCCGCTTCAACATGGAAGTCGGAGAAGATAAAATCAGGTTTGGTGGTAGTGATTACCTCCTTCAGACCGCGATATGTAAAAGGCCAGAATGCATCAAATGCCATTTTACCTTTAACAATATCCCTTTTGCCTCGGGCAGTGTTCCAGTTCCAACGCGAGAAGAGGATGTAGTGCTTTTCATCTTCTTCAGCAGAGATGGCTGGCCCAACTATGTGAACCTTTTTCACAAAAGGATAATTGTCAACCAGCTTTTGTCTGCCACTCAGTGTTGCAAAGTCAATTGTATGACCTCTAGCTGCCAAGATGGAACATATTTCCAGAATTGGTGCTATTTGTGGGTTAGCATCCTGATTTCTTTATTGACACCGGAGTGATTCGCGTACCTGAATTGGTCGAGCCACCGACCGTGACAACAACGAGAATTTGGGCTTTGGGCAACGACATGGTGATGGCTTTACCCTGATACACTGGTCTGTGCACGAATGGACATATAATGAAGTTTGTAAACTTTGGGCTGGATACGGAGATGGGCTTGTCGAGGTACCCGTTATTCTTGAGTTTGAAAATTGTCTTTGATTATCATGGGCGAAGTTGAGCCTTCAGTCACATGTCTCGACTGCAAATGTCACATCGAGATGTGGAAGCATATCCCCACGAATGGGCTATGAGCATGGCTTGTGTGGGAGCGCGAGGTCATCTTACTGCATCAGTGCATCGTGATCGACATCTCAAAACTCAAACAGATAAACGCTACAGAACTTTAAATGCGTGATATATGCAATGGCACATATCGCATACGAACCAGCGTTGCAATGCATGTTGGTCAGCATTTGTGGGCTGATTTCCTCTCGCCCTTCGGTGTATTGATTACGTGGTTGCGTTCGACCTGCAGCCTCACTCTTGGCAAATCCTCTCAGGGATTGCTACAGACATTCTATGTTGACTCATATAAACGACTGGATCTTTTGCTAGAGGCATGTAATGGTCAAAGCCACCCTTGCCACCTGCTTATCTGGTCCAGGCTAAATACACAACTGGAACTCTCGCCTCAAGGCATGCATTGCATATGGGATGGCAGATTTCTAGAACTATGCTTGAAATACCTGGTGGAAATGTAAAGATACAAATATTCATAGATGGGAGCCGTAATCGTTTCTGTATTGCCACTTGAAAATTTGTCAACAAGGCTATCTTGACTTCAAAATGATCTGCCCCTCCAAGTCACGTCACGACACTGTTTGATAACGGATACTTCTGACTGTAGCCAAATCAGAATGCAAGAAACTATCCGCGGAGAAATTGTACCTCAGATTGACGATGTATTCTCAAAATTGCGTGAGACGGAATAACTTTGCAAGAGCTATTAGGCTGTTTGTCTTGCAGGCAGTCCATGATAGGGAGGGACGTTAGGGGTAGCCTCAATACCACTCACTCTTTGACAACTCATCAACGCCACTGCAGATGAACATGATAATCAGTAATCATCCAGTGAAAGCTCGCCCCCACGGTGAATTGGATACCAGATTGATCCAACATACATTATCTCACAGAGGTGTTGAATTTAGCTACGATAAGGGGCTGGTCGTAGAGGGCTAGACGAGACTCACGTATTGTTCAAGTGTAGGCCTATAATAACTTCGCAACTCCTATTATTAGCCATGTGACAAACCCAAAGTATCTCAACCCTTCTATCTTATACCCAATTATTCAACTTTTACTGCATTATTGTTTTTGAAGCATCCTCAAGTTTAGCTATGGAGCCAATCGCTGTTATTGGTCTTGACCTCAAGTTCCCCGGCGATGCTACTGACGCCGATGGGTTCTGGGATATGCTGGTAACTGGCCGCTCAGCCTGCACAGATATTCCAGACGATCGTTTCAAAGTGTCGTCATTCTACCACCCGGACCCGGAGCGCTCGGGTTCAGTTAGCATTCCTGTTACTTTGTGAAGTACACGACTGATCAGCATCGCAGCTCAATGTTACTAGGGCGCATTTTCTGAAGGGTGAAATCGCCGCCTTCGATGCTCCGTTTTTCTCCATTACACCTGCTGAAGCTGGTGGTATGGATCCTCAACAACGTGGCCTGCTCGAAAATACTTATCGTGCTCTAGAAAATGGTATGAACCCCTGATGTTTTACTATGGAGAATGTGGATCTGACCCTATCATAGCGGGATGTCCAATGAATAAAGTTCTTGGAACAAACACTGGTGTTTTCATCGGTTGCTTTACTCGTGAATATGAAGCCATCATGTTCAAAGAGACCGAGATACAGCAGCGTTACTTTGCTACTGGCACTGGAACAACCATGCTTGCCAATCGACTGAGCTATTTCTATGACCTTCATGGGCCTAGCATAAGTCTGGACACAGCGTGCTCCAGTAGTCTAAACGCCTGTCACCTAGCCTGTAATAGTCTAAGGTTGGGCGAGTGTGACATGGCATTAGCAGCTGGCTGCAACCTGTTCTACAACCCTGATACCATTATCCCACTCACAGCCCTTGGCTTTCTATCTCCCGATGGGAGATGCTACAGTTTTGATGAACGGGCCAATGGATACTCACGTGGTGAAGGGTTTGGAATGGTTGTGCTGAAGAGATTGAGTGATGCTATCCGTGATGGCGACTGTATTCGTGCCATCGTTCGAGGCTCCTCAAGCAACCAGGATGGCAACTCACCTGGCATCACACAACCCACTCGACAGGCGCAAGTGGACTTGATCAACGCCGCATATCAATCAGCCGGTCTATCCAAGACGCAGACGCGCTTCTTTGAGGCTCACGGTACAGGTACTCCTGTGGGTGATCCCATTGAAGCAAGTGCCATCAGCGGCGCATTCTCAGAGTATCGCTCCGAGCAAGAGCCAATGGTTGTTGGCGCAGTCAAGACAAATATCGGCCATCTTGAAGGCTCGGCCGGGATTGCAGGTCTCATCAAGGCCATAATGGTCCTTGAGAAAGGTATAATCCCTCCCAACATGGGCTTCCAGACCCCCAACCCCAAGATTCCTGTTCATGATTGGCACCTCAAGTTCCCAACCAAGCCTGAAGCCTGGCCTTCTAAAGGACTCAGGCGAGCCTCAATCAATGCGTTTGGCTATGGTGGAAGCAATGCCCACATCATTATCGATGATGCCTATCACTATCTCCTCGAGCATGGCTTGAAAGGAAAACACCAAACCATTGAGTTCCCACCGGTTGAAGGCCTGAGGCCGTCCATCAATGGCACGAATGGCACCAACGGTCATTTAAACGGTATCACCAATAACCACTCTAACGGTCATCAGTCTACTTCTGGCTCGAGTGACGATGAGTATATCTTGGTCAAGCGCTTCAAAGGTTATGCCCCCCCTTGTCGCTCATTCTTCTTTTCCACCTTCGATGAAGCTGGAGCAGCCCGCATGGCACAAGCATACAGGGAGTTCCTAGATTCCACCAACAAGTCAATAGTTGCTGGGTCTGAGGAAGAACAAGGCTTCTTGAGTGACCTTTCTTATACCCTCATCAACCACCGCACATCATTCCCTTGGCGGTTCTCCATCGTCGCTGACAGCATCGCGGCTTTGACTAACAAGTTGGAGGGTAACCCTTCACCTGTTAGAGCCACTGCGGACCCTAAGCTTGGCTTTGTCTTTACAGGACAAGGTGCACAGTGGTACGCCATGGGTAGAGAATTGCTCTCTGCTTATCCAACATTCAGCACGTCCATATTTGCTGCGGACCTATATCTGCGAGAGCTGGGTTGCCCGTGGTCACTTGTTGGTGAATTGCTTCAGAACCAAGACAAGTCACGCATCGATGATCCTGAATTGAGTCAACCAATCTGCACAGCCTTGCAAGTGGCTCTGGTTGACCTCCTCGCCAGCTGGGGTATCAAGCCTGCTGCCGTGGTCGGTCATTCATCGGGCGAGATTGGTGCTGCCTATGCTACAGGTGCCATATCCCAAGAGTCGGCCTGGAGGCTAGCATTCTATCGGGGTGCTCTGTCCTCTCGGCTGGCCAAGTCTCCCGATCATACCAACGGAGCCATGCTCTCGGTGGCCATGAGCTCATCAAGTGCCATGTCATATCTCGAGGAACATGTTGGCAGCGCCGCGGGTAGAGATATCGTTGTGGCCTGTATCAACAGTCCGAGAAACGTGACGCTCAGTGGCAGTGCAGTATATATTGACAAGATCAAGGCTGCTGCAGACTCTGGTGGTATCTTTGCCCGCAAGCTCAAGGTTGATAACAGTTACCATTCACCTCTGATGGCCACCATTGCAGATGAATACAGAAGCTTGATTGGCGACCTCGAGGCTGGAACCAATATATCACCAGGCAAGGTTGCTCCAGTCTTTTATTCGTCCCTGGGAGGGACAGTCATCTCAGCCTCTGCTCTTAAGAACCGCGATCATTGGGTTGACAATCTAGTTTCGCCAGTCCAATTCTCCAAAGCCTTCTCACTCATGTGCTCCAACACCAGTTCCAGCGCGCCAGTCAAGAAGCTTGGATCTTCGGCCAAAGCAACAGTCAAGCCCCCGAAGATTACTCAAGTACTTGAGATTGGTCCGCATGCGGCATTGCGTGGCCCCATTCGTGAGATCATGGAGCTTACGCCAGAAGTGAGTGGTATTGGATATGAATCAGTGCTCCGTCGTGGTACTTCTGCTGTTGACACTGCTTTGGGCGCCGCCAACTGGCTTTGGTGCCGCGGGTACGAGGTGGACATGTCTGATGCCAGCATTGCAAAGGACAGCTCCCTTGTAGTCAATGCACCGGGATACCCTTTCAACCACTCCAACATCTATTGGAATGAGAGTCGTATCAGCAAAGGATACCGCTTCCGTCCTGCAATGCGACATGAACTACTTGGTGCCCCGGTGCCAGATTGGGATCCAGCCAATGCTGTGTGGCGGAACTACCTGCGTCTTTCAGAGAACCCTTGGGTGAAGCATCACCGAATCACTGGTGCTACCATCTACCCCGCCGCAGGAATGCTTGTTATGGCCATAGAAGCTAGTCGACAGATGGCAGACATATCTCGTGTAGTCAAGGGCTTTCGCATTCTTGACGCTCGCTTTAATGTCGCTCTTCGCGTTCCAGCGACGCAGAATGGTCTGGAGACGCACTTTTATATGCAGCCCTCGAGGGACCATCCTGACACTGTGGCGAGGACAGTTCGCAAGTTCTCGCTCAGCAGTTATGAGGGCGGTGAATGGCGCGAGCATTGCCATGGTCTGGTCGTCACAGAGTACGAACAACCTTATACCGTCGTTGACGATGGAAGAGAAGACTTTGAGTTCCAAGAAGCATGCAAGAATAGGCTTGCGGGCGTTGAGAAGGCCTCAAAAGTTGAGACCTCATTTCGACAGCTCTATGAGCATTTGTCGACCGTTGGTCTTGACTTTGGCGCTACTTTCCAGACTCTCCGCGATATTCGCTGCGGTGACATTGGTGAAGCTGTGGCGACTGTGGAGAGGCAAGATCTTGAGAGCTTGATGCCTCTAGGCTATCTTCAAGACCACTTGATTCATCCCACCGTACTCGATGGTATCCTCCAGAGCATCATTGTCAGTTTGACAAAAGGTGGTCGCGAGATTGACCAAGTCATGGTTCCCTCCGAGATTGGCGACCTCTGGGTATCTGCTGATCCCTCAACATCCAAGTTCGATGCCATTCGCGTCTCCTGCTCAGGCAAATTCCTGGGCATTAGGCAGGCTGAGGCGCGCATTGTTGGTATTGACGTTGATATCGGCAAGGCCGTTTGTACGGTTGACAACTTTGTCATCACTACTGTGGCACGAAGTGAAGGCGCTTCTTCGTCCGACGCTGCCAGAAGACTCTGCTTCAACCTTGATTATAAGGTAGATCCAGCTCTTCTGGATCAAGAGACCGCGGACAAGACAATCCAACCTGACGCAAAATGCGGTGCTACTACTCAACAAGCCCAGTTGATTCAGGAGGTGGAGATGATGTGTTTCTTGTATATCAAACGGTTCTGGGACAGAATCTATAACGAGAACCGCGACGCCAAGTCTGTACCCTATCACAAGAAGTATATCGCCTGGATCAAGCACCAACTGGAGAAGTATGACGCTGGCCTTATCCCACATGCCATGCCTGAATGGCGCGAACGAGCGGCCGACGACCAATACATCAGTCAAATGGAGATCAAGCTCCTCACAGACGGTTCTGCTGAAGGAAAGCTGGTCGTCAATGTTGGACGGGAACTCCCCAACATCCTCGCTGGCAAGTCTGATGCATTGGAGCTCCTCTTCAAGGACAAGCTAGTAGAGAACGTCTACCGCTCTGGAGTCGGGGCTGAGATTGGTTATGACCGCATGGTGGCCTATATCGATGCTCTGGCCCACAAGAACCCAGCCCTCCGTGTTCTCGAGGTTGGGGCTGGGACTGGTGGCGCCACAAGACCCATTCTCAAGTGTCTCACGACACAAGGTAATGGTGAGACTGGGACACCACGGTTCAGCCACTATGCGTTTACAGATATCTCGATTGGCTTCTTTGAGAACGCTCGAGAAATGTTCAAGGATAGTGCTGCACGCATGAGTTTCCGCGCCCTCAATATCGAGGAGAACTTAGAGCAACAAGGGTTCTCGGGCCCGGGAGAACAGTACGATGTCATATGCGCTGCCAACGTCATCCATGCAACAAGGAACCTGGAAGCGACCTTATCCAACGCGAGGAAGTTGCTCAAGCCTGGGGGTAAACTCATCTTGTATGAGATGACAAACACTGGCATGATACGGACCGGCTTTGCCTTTGGATTGCTGCCTGGTTGGTGGTTATCTGTTGAGGACTTCCGTCAGTTCACACCACTGGCTGCTCCGAATGACTGGTCCAGATCTCTCAAAGCCAGTGGATTCAGTGGTATCGATCTGCACATCTATGACTTTCCAGATCATAGACATCAGATGGTCAGCGTCCTCATTTGCACAGCGCTTGGTGATGGAAGTGAAGAAAATACACCAACCAGTTCCTACTCCTCGTCGCCTATCAAGATCATCACTTGTGGTGCGGGATCCGGCTCAGCCACCCAAGAGAGCCTTGCTACAGTTCTTGAGAAGCAAGCGTCCAGCCTCAGCACTAGCGTTGCTGTTGTTAACCTGCAAGATGCTGTGGCAGATCTCAAGGATCTGCAGCAAACTCGTTGCATCTTCCTCGGGGACCTCGAGTCCAACTTTCTGGAACACGTTCATGACGATGACTATGAAGCTTTCCAGAAGCTAATTAGTTCCACCAAGACATTGTTCTGGGTCAATCAGGGAGGTGGTCCATCACCCAAGAACCCTGGAGCTGACATGGTGACTGGTTTCGCTCGTTGCATGCGTGCTGAGAACCCAGGATTAAACTTTGTCACTCTATCCATCGACGACTTGGGTTCCTTGGATAAGACCAGTTCCATCATCTTACGTCTCTTGAGTACAGGAGGGGGAAACGAGAACACCTTCTTCGAGAAGGATGGCGCTGTTTACATTCCACGTATCACCGAGGCCAACACAGTCAATCATCTCATAGCCGCCAAGACAAAGGGCGAGCCAGCTAGGTCAGAGACATGGCAGGATGCTAGCAACGGTAGAGCCTTGACCCTACAGTGTGCTGTGCCTGGTCTCCTTGATAGCCTTCAGTTCCAAGATGACGAGCTTTATGAAAAGCCTCTCAGACCTTATGATGTCGAGGTACGCGTTCACGCCACTGGCCTCAATCTTCTTGATGTCATGATAGCTCTGGGTCAGGTTATCGGCGAAGCGTTTGGACAAGAGTGCGCCGGCGTGGTGACCCGCGTCGGAACAGACGTTGAGCGAGTCTCTGTCGGCGATTCTGTCTGTGGTCTTCTCAGGGGAACTTTCAAGACTTTTGCAAGGGGCTCTCAATGGCAGTTCGCCAAGATTCCCTCAACCATCGACTATGCGGTCGCCGCGTCAGTGCCGGTTGTTTACACCACCGCATACTATGGACTTCATGACCTCGCGCGCCTCCAAGCCGGCGAGAGCATCCTGATTCACTGGGGTGCTGGTGGTGTCGGGCAGGCTGCTATCCAGCTCGCCAAGGCGGTTGGAGCTGAAGTGTTTGTCACTGTGGGCTCTATCGAGAAGCGAGACTTTGTGCATGAGCACTACGGTATTCCTTTGCACAATGTCCTGTCAAGTCGTGACTTGAGCTTTGTACATGGCATCAAGAGGTTGACTGATGGACGCGGCGTCGATGTCATCCTCAATTCTACAGCCGGACAGACCCTGCGTGCTAGCTGGGACTGCATTGCCCCATACGGGCGATTTATCGAAATCGGCAAGGTGGATATCTTTGCCAATGCAGGTCTCCCAATGGGGCCATTCAAAAAGAGCGTCACCTTTTCCTTCTTCGACATTGGTCTCATATCACTTGAAAGAGGCCGGCTATTCTCCCGCGTCCTTCAAGATGTCGTTGATCTGCTCGCCAAAGGATCTATTACCCCACCACAGCCACTGCATGTCTACAGCTATTCGGACATCCAAGAGGCATTCAGAATCATGCAATCAGGATCTCATATGGGCAAGCTTGTCTTGAAGGCTCAAGATGACGATCATGTCATGGTAAGTTATTTCAACAGCTCATATCATGTATCAACACTAACCTCTTCCAGGTCGAACCCAGTCGAAAGCCCACTTATTACTTTGATCCTGATGCGTCATATCTGCTTTCAGGGGGTCTCGGCGGTCTTGGACGCAGTGCAGCACGTTGGATGGCGTCTCGTGGGGCCAAGAATCTCATTCTCCTCTCTCGGTCCGGAACCACGCGACCTGCAGCTCAAGAACTCATGAAGGAGCTCGCAGCCGCTGGCGTGACAGCGTCAGCACCTCAATGCGACGTCTCTGACCGCGCTGCTCTTGAAAGGGTTCTCAATGATTGCGCTAAAACGATGCCACCTATCAAGGGCTGCATCCAAGGCTCCATGGTCCTCAAGGATAGCATATTCTCCAACATGTCTCCGGAAGACTACTACACTGCCGTACGTCCCAAGGTGGTTGCATCAAGAAACTTGCACGAGCTTCTCCCACAGGACATGGATTTCTTCATCCTTCTCTCATCTGCTTCTGGAGTGGTTGGCAACCGAGGTCAATCCAACTACTGTGTAGGAAACACCTACCAAGACTCCTTAGCCCGTCACCGGGTTGCTTTAGGGCTTCCGGGTGTAGCTGTCGACCTGGGAATGATCCTTTCTGTCGGGTTCGCCGCTGAGAACCAAGAGAGTATGGCTAATCTTCGTCAAGAAGGTTTCAATGCCATGCGAGAAGACGAGTTCCTTGCCCTGCTCGATATGTTATGTGGCCCGAATGGAACGTACTCCACCAATGCCAACCGGGAGATGGAGGCCTCCTCATTTGCTCAAATCGCAGTTGGTCTTGAGGCCCCAGCTACTCTTCGCATCAAGGGCATTCCAGAACCAGCATGGATGACTGATCCTCTGTTCAAGCATCTATACCAGATCAGAGGCGAAGGTGATCATGAGGGTGAAGGTGACGGCGAAGGTTCAGCCACGTCATGTTCCACGCTACTCCCAGCGGCGGCATCGTTAGCTGACGCAGCCAAGATTGTTAGCGCAGCTATTGTCCAGAAGCTCTGCAAAGCTCTATCTTCAAGCGAACGAGACATTGACGTATCGAAGCCTCTGCATAGTTATGGAGTTGATTCCCTCGTCGCAGTCGAGTTGCGCGCCTGGTTCATGAAGGAGGTTGGCTCTGATGTTGCTGTATTCGATATCATGAGTGGCCAGAGCTTGGAAGAGTTGGCTGAACTGGCTGCAAAGAGGAGCTCATTTGCCAGTTTTGATGATGAGAAAGAGGCCGATTGAGCATGATGGGACATTAATTTGTCAAATAATATTTCATTTTGTCGATGTACTGTAGATGGGAAATCGGGTTGGGCTGGTTGGAGCTATGCTACGCCTGCTTATAGGCTGGTTGTTGTCACCAAGGACTAGTAATTGAGCCTTAAGAATATGAGTGTGTATTTCATCAGGTTAGAGCTTGAATCATCACATGAGACTTGATGTATTTTATTGTGTATAAATATTCCAATGCTTGTAACAATCTCTATATTAAATAATCAGGCCTGGCTGAGTACCTTAAAGTTGTGTTTAAAAGACCAGGCACTCTAGGGATAAGCATCCCTGCTTAGGTCCTTTCTAAACTCAAAATTAAAGTGGTTCTGCTCGCTTCTGGAACTAAAGCCACTGAATTCTATGTTGAATGCTTTACTGCATTGCTTCCTACCTAGCTACAGGCCACTAAGCCTCTTTGGAAACGGAAGGTCGAAAGTCCTAGAGCCTGTTTTGAGCTCTTATGGGGAGCACTAGCTATATTAGGTCCGGAACTAGAGGCACTTAGCCATGTCGGCGCTAGATTTAAGGGCCGAATCTCCCCGCTCTACAAATCAGGAGAGTTTGAACTTTAAAGTATACTAATCTACATAATACTTAAGAGGTACCTAAATTATTTTATCTTTTATATACTTAAGTGCAGCCAGATATAATTATAATATGTATTAATGGAATGATTACTGGTATATAGGTACTTTAACTTTATAATGTGTTGTAAACGCCTAATATTCTATTTAAGCAGCGCGCTCTTCTTTATCTCCCTCACAATCTACAGCAACTAAAAATATAACTCTGGCTTCAATGGCTTTAGTTCATCCCCTTCTAAAGCTGTTAATTTCCCTTCTGATGGTAGCGCCTCTAGGAGTCGCACGGGATGTCAAATACTTAGTGACATTGTAAGCTTTCAACAAGATCTTTATATTTTATATGGAATTATTAACAATTAACTAGTGGAAGCTCGACTACTCAAACCGGATTTCAGCTTGATAAGTCCAGACCCTCAGCTTCCAATCCTCTAGGAAACCCAAGCCTGCCCGGATGGACAACCAGTGGAGGATTGAACTGGTTGGGATATCTCATCACCGAGTTCAACGCCAGCACCATATACTCATACAACCTTGCTGTTGGCGGTGCAACTACCGATTCAGCCTTAATCCCCCCTTACTCAAATACAGTCAAAAGTTTCATCAATCAGGTCGATGAACTCTGCGAAGAATTTGCCACTAATCCGCCATGGACTTCTGAGAACTTGCTGGTCGGCATTTGGATTGGGAATAACGACGTTGGCAATTCTTTCGCTGAAGACAACAAGGATTCATTGTACCTTCAAATATCAACCAAATACATACAGCAGCTCCAGAAGTTATATAAACTTGGTGCCCGAAGTTTTGTCATCCTGTCAGCCGGCCGTGAGTTTCATTTCCATCATACCTGCTTCTAAGGCTCTTAGCTAATGTTTCCATCACAGCGCAACACTGGACGCCACTTATGATTTCCAAAGGTCCAACATCCCAAGCCAAGTTAAAGAGTGCTGTCGAGCTCTACAATCATTACTTGGGAAAAGGGCTAAAATCCTTTTTAATTCAGTATAAAGAAGCACGCGTCTGGTTCGTCAATTCTGAAAACGCTTACTCAAAGGCTCTTGATAACGCGACTATATATGGTGCTCCTAACTCAACCTGTGAGAATCCTGATGGGCAGAGCTGTCTGTGGTGGAACAATTATCACCCTGGAACCGCCATTCATCGGCTCTTGGCAAAGGAGGTTGCAGGAGCTGTTGGTAACCTGTGGTTTTCACAGGAATCTTAGATCCCGAGTTTGTTACCCAAGGCCCAGTTGTCACACCCAGTCAATATTGAAACTTAGTGGTTACAGGCCCAATGTTGCCCTCCGAACTAGCTTGCAAGTTGAGTGATAATAAAATTGCGGATCGAGAAATATTCTATAGGATTATCGACTAAAGATGCAGACCTACTTATAACAATAGCCTTTAGATTCCGAATAGCTTTTACTGTATTTATTTACCCCACCAATGGGAACTCGATCGCCTTGGGATGGAATCTGGGGGATGAATTCCGAGTTCATGAACCTTGTTTGCTGTCACTCGTGAATCAGTTAGCAGTAGTCCACAAGGTCGATCTGGACTTACTTCTTTCGTACTCCCCTGTGTATTGGGGCTCAGCTGTCGCGCCCCAGTTTTGCAAAACCATGACACCTAAATTATTATAAAAAAGCCACAGTACCTAAGGGCTATAGGAAGCGAGAATTATCTTAACAGGGCCAGTAAATGCTGTTTCGTTGCATGCCTGTAGGCTAAAGAGTGTTCAAATTATGTTTCATAGGGGCACTATTCAGGACATTGTCATCAAGTAGATTAGACGTTAAGGTTAATCGGAAAGTATAGTAGCCACAGATGGTGGCTCTTAAGCTGATACTAGCTGCTTTATCCATACTCAGGCTCTCCAGTTTACGCATCAAGGCTACACCTTGGCAACATTGTATCCCACGAAGGCGACACCAACGTGCTTCTGGGGCAGCCACTGTCTCATCACCACCTTAAGGAGACTTCTCTCATAGTAGATCCTACTTTCACGACGACGCCAAAATGTGACATCCCAGCGGGCTTTTATTTGCGGTAATTCCAAAGCGGCATGCTTTTAATCTAGTGGGTTTACTCATTCTCGAGGTGCCATTCAGTACAATGCCACCTCCGCCCGGAGACCAAGGGGACGCGCGGAAGCCGAGTACGGAGATTTAACCAATAGGTATGACTTCTTTAGCCACGGAATGATAATGTGGTACTGATGGCCCCTTCGTATGTATTACAAGTAGCGGAGATGAGACTGCATTAGAGCCATGTCTGATCAATTCTCTCCTAAGCTCAACAGGGCGTGGAATCAATCACTACAGCAGTTTCTCCTTGAGCTTAGTCTTGGTTTGCATGTGACATTCACCATCATCATCTCTGGCCCCTCCTCCTGCCGATTTATGCCGAGGAATATCACAGCCGGACTCTATGGCGATATTGATAAGGTTGGCAAGCATCTATATTAATAGAGCAGTATGAACAGCAGCTACCGAAGCATCCCGTTCAGATGTCGATCTCACGGTGCAGCAAGAGTCAATTAATATGCCGTCAGACCCGGAAATATCCCAATGGCAGAACTGATAAATCTGGAGCGTGAAGGCCTTGGCCCAGGTAGTTTGCAGTTGCGCAATTTCTAATTGGTCGAATGTACCTTTCATTTAGTTAGTATAGAGGCTGATTCCTTTATTGAAAAGGATTGCCGTGGCAATATGCCGTATGTCATGGTACATATGCTTGTAGATTGAGCACGGGTGGAATATTAAGGTTTGAGGTCCAGGATTGATTGCTTGCATGATGACAAATGTTGCACAGATCGGAGTTATAACCACCGATGCTCCGATTTTGCCTGGTCTGATAACCAGTACGAGTGGATCTATCAAGAACTGGCTCCACTTCGCAATCAGATCCGATGTTGAGTGGCTTGGGATTTAACTTTCCGCGGACTCGAACTCCATGGGCAGTCGGGGGACTATCTAACGTCCGCTGTGCCTGATTGTTAAGGGAAGGTGTACTACGCGTCGCAGCTGATATCGCAATTTCGACTACTCATACGCAGATGTCTAGGATATTAGACCTTGCAAGGATGGTCTTTGAGTTTCCTTGATAGGCATATTATATCCCTTGAACCATCCACTGTGTCTCTCACTCCGCACTTACTCTCCTGCATCTACAATGCAGAAAAAACCTGACGAACTCCGCGCCGCATACTCACTCCATCAAACAAAGAGTTAATGCCTTCCATCTGAAACTGCGAGTTAGCATATCTAAATCCAGCAACAACTTTCTAGCTCGTCCAAACCACGGTCGAAACAACAATGACAGAGTCAGACGAAAAGCCTCGCTCCGATGACACCGAACACACGAAGACGAAAACGCTCCCACACTGGCGCCTAGTCATCGACCAAGCTGGTGTTACGCCCGAGGTCCTCGCCTATAACTATCAAGGGTCTGGCACAGAACAAGACCCGTTTGTGGTTCAATGGATCCCAAATGACCCAAGGAATCCCCAGCAATGGGCCGACTCTAAGAAATGGTTTATAACAACAGCCGTCTCGTTTGCTACTTTGACTGTTAGTCTGGTATCATCGGCATATACAGGAGGCATAAAACAGATCATCCGAGACTTCCACCTCAGCCAGGAGGTAGCAACTTTGGGCGTATCTCTATTTGTCCTTGGTTTTGCTCTTGGACCGTTGCTATGGGCACCACTTAGTGAGATCTTTGGCCGCCAGCTACTGTTCATTGGAACATATGCTGGCCTTACCATCTTCAATGCAGCGTGTGCTGGTGCTCCCAATGGGGCTTCGTTACTGGTCTTCCGGTTTCTAGCTGGCTCCTTTGGTTCTTCTCCCTTGACCAATGCTGGAGGAGCTATAGCTGATATGTTTCCGCCCCATCAAAGAGGCCTAGCGATGACGCTATTTGTGGCTGGGCCATCCCTTGGTCCAGTGCTTGGCCCAATTTGCGGTGGATTCCTTGGCGAGAATGCTAGCTGGCGTTGGGTGATGGGATTCCTTGCGATTTTCGCTGGGGTTATGTGGATTGGAGGGACCATCCTTATCCCAGAAACCTATGCCCCGACATTGCTAAGACGCCGGGCTGCTAAACTCTCTAGTATGACTGGAAAAGTATATGTCAGCAGCATTGAATTGAAACAAGGCAAGGTTTCCTTGCGCAGTGCTATTAGCACCTCCTTACTGCGGCCGTGGATTTTACTCTTCAAGGAACCCATCGTTCTCCTATTGTCAATCTACATGGCGATCATCTACGGTACCCTCTACTTGTTCTTCGCCGCCTTTCCAGTCGTTTTTGAACAGGCTCGGGGTTGGAGTCAAGGTATCGAAGGTTTAGCATTTCTGGGTATAGCTGTGGGTATGGTGGCGGCTTTGATTTATACGATTCCTGACAACAAGCGTTATGTTCTCCTCGATCAAGAGCACAACGGTTTCGCACCACCAGAAGCTCGGCTCCCACCAGCAATAATTGGCTCTTTTGCCATTCCAGTGGGGTTGTTTTGGTTTGCTTGGACCAATTATCCATCCATCCATTGGATAGTCAGCATCATGGCCGGTGCTGCTTTCGGCTTTGGTCTGATTCTGGTTTTTCTAAGTATCATGAATTATCTGGTCGATGCATATACGATCTTTGCAGCTTCAGTTCTTGCTGCTAATTCGATCCTACGCTCTTTGTTTGGCGCAGCCTTTCCGTTATTTACAGTACAGATGTATGACAACTTAGGGTTGCATTGGGCATCAACGATCCCAGCATTCCTGGCACTGGTCTGCGTTCCATTTCCCTACCTGTTCTACATATATGGAGCGCGCATCCGGACTCATTGCAAGTTTGCCGCTGAATCGGACGCCTTTATGCAAAGTTTGAAGCAGGCCCAGAACCAACGGGAACAGGAGTCAGAAGAACAGGGTAATAGTACCGAGGACGAGCGTACAGTCGTTGATGATGGAGTCATCAGTTCTAACCATAGACGAACATCTTCGGTCCATGGTCCATCTTCACTATATGACGGCAACCCCTATGACATCGATCGTGTTCACACGAGAAACTCATTCTCTTAACCTTTACGAAAACCATCTTGGCTCAGCTTTAGTTAGACCTATAGATCAGAACTCAAATACGTCATATTTTAATTCATTCTACCCCTAGGACCACATACAAATTCCTCAGACCCACTTCGCCGATATGGACTCTGTACTGACTGCTAAATGAAGTTGGGATTTCTAGTCAATTCGTAAGTGAGACGAAGTGGGTCACAGAGCTTGACCCTAACGATGTAATGTGGATCAACTGGACCTTGCGGTTGAGGAATTGGGGATTTGACACTATCTACAAAGTTTCAGGAATAGAATGTTAACCCACCAGCAAATCAAGAAATGCTGTTACAAGAGATGGTCTTCTTAGGCAATTCTTAAATAATAAAACTACAAGCGATGGAGTCCAAGGTCATATCAATCTGCAGCATTTCTTAGCTGATGAAATTTCACATCATGAGGAATGGTTGGAGGCTAAGCAATTAAACTCAACGCTAAGCGCTCAGCTGCCTATTTTATTCACTCATACCCACTAGCCACTGCCTCAAGAGGGCTAGGCCTATGGGTCTAGAGGGTTTTATGCTGAGAAAGGCAGTCACCGAAAATTATTTAACCTCCTTACTCTTGCATCTGCCTATTTGGAGGCCGATGCACTAAGACATCAATCTAACATAAATACGCTGCTTGAGGACCTCAACTTTCTTGTCCCATCAATTCTTCACTTGTTACAATGACTCACACCTGGGATCCAGATCCGGCACCGCTTACCACTGCCGAAGAAGAGATTCTGGCTGAGAGCGAGGCGGTGTCTAAGCTCAGTCAATCGCAACTGGACTCATTTAATGCCTGGGTAGGATCTAACAATCCAGGAGTACTCAAGGCAAAGTCTTGGATCACGGAAAGATACGATCTTTATTACAATACCTTCTCTTACTCTGAGCTAGTTCTAATGCTAAAGCGGGCCAAATATCTCTCTGGCAATGAGCCCAATAACGAGGTAAGAACTATCATTTTATCACAGGGTCTATCAGTCTAATAAAGAACCACAGGACCAGGTCGACTTTATCGTACGAAAGCCAGGCCTTGGCTTGCCTCTTGGCCACATGCCTGACCAAGAAGACCGCTTTCCTTTGCTCTTCATGGAGGATAATTACGAGAACGGCTGGCGAGCTGCC